ACAACCCATAAGTGAAATCTTTATTTATTATTTTTACACTATTTTAGGGTGGTCCGTAGAGGGTGTCCGTAGGGGTAGTCCATGGACCGGTCCGTAGGTTAGTCCGCGGACCCGGTCCGTTGTGGGGGTCCGCGGACCGGGGGTCAGTGTTTTCGGGTTACCCCTCCCAATGAGGCAACTTTATCGAGCGTTTACATGTGAAAACGTTGTCCCTGTAGGCCGAACTAAAGTTGACCCTGCATGATTTTTCATAACCCTTATTGATTAATCAAATGTGCAAATATCCCTCTTTCTCGGTCATTTGATTATAGTGGGTTTTGCCGAGTTAATTTTCACTTCTTTGATACAAATTTCTGCTTTGTCTCGCACCCTAAAATGGGTTCGCGATCCCCATGTAAACGGTCGGTTTAATTTTGTGAAAAAATAAGTGAAAAGTTAGCTTGGCTAGGTTATCTCAGTGGGAGGATTGTCTTGGGCCCATATAAATGGGCCCTCAATCTGCTCAAGTTTCGCGTCAGCCATTTTTGTTTTGTATTTTTTTTGCTTGTTTGTTTGTTTGTTTGTTTGTTTTTTTGTTTTGTTTTGTTTTGTTTTGTTTGTTTGTTTTCTTTGAAGAAAATGCTGCAAACTTCTCATGGTGGAGCTTTGGGAAGAGTAAATACCATAGGCGGCAGAGCAAGGGGGGCAGGGGGGCTGTAGTCCCTCCCCCCAAAAAAGAAAAATTTAGAGGGCTCAGCCCCTCCACATTTTGAAGCAAAGCTGATATAGACTGTGGCAAGCTTGGCCAGCAGCTTAGACTGCAGAACAGGCGGATTAACGAGGCAGAGAGCGAAACGCGATACATGAGCGCGGAGTGCGACCACGAGCGCGAAGCACGGACGAAACAAATCCGCCTGTAGTCACACCATTGTTTACACTCTTCCAACCGTTCGCCTGGCGAACGGTTTTTGCTGATTGGTTGCTTTAAGCCACGTGACGTCAGACGCGAGAAAAAACAACATGTGTTAAATTGGGTGACAGTCCTACACGGACTCCTACGGCTCGTGACATTTTTTTATTTGCCATTCTCTTATAAATTCCGGCCTCTCGACCTGTTATTTTGCTCCTCACTTGTTTCTGAAGGGCACTTAGTGTTGTTGTGTTATCAGGGTGACTTTTTTAAAAGTGCAGTAGAACCGTTGGAATTGGACTGTTAGAGGTCAGAGCTCTGCATGGTTTCAGCTGTTATTTATCGCTCTGTACAGTTTGACACCTGTAATTTGCCATGTGCCGAGTGTGGTTTAGTCTCCTCCGCAGCCGTTTTTTAGGATGTCACGCAACGCTCTCCCTAAAGAGGGGGAGCGTTGCGTGACATCCCAAAAAACGGCTGCAGAGGAGACTAAGTGTGGTTTGGCTTGCGTCATTTTTATCGCAGAAATGTATGTTGTGCCTCTTATTCGCTCTGCAGGGACGAAGTCGGTTATCATGTTGATTACTTGCATTCCGGGCCCGGTTCTTAGATTAAACTGTGTTATTAAGTTATGAGGCTTGTTTATTTAATACCACGGATCATATTTAGCTTTGTCCGGCGTCGTCAGAGACTGCTGTGGTGTTACGTCGAAAATCTTAGAGATCCATTCTGTGTCGTCAAAGTTATGTTTCTTCCATCCTGAATTTGTTCGAGCTTTTTATCTCCTTAGCTTGATGTTTAGATTTATACATGATTGAAATTTAGCTAAATTTAGATGTTCAGTCTGTTGACTGTTTTGCGTCATGTATACAT